AAAAAATCATAATCAACAAATTAATGAATTTTTATGAACTTTTATCGCAGGATCATATAAAGCATATATATCAAAAGGACAAAGCCCACTACCACAAAATTTCAAGTTTTTATTTTGAATCGTTCTTCATATATGCCTAACGAACGCTCGTCGTGAAAGACCTTGTATATGCATAGTCTGGTTAACGGAAAAACGAATTTCAACGGATTTCATTGACTTAAATTGAAAGTTGGATATTCTACGATGAAAGAAATTATTTCCATATGTAATATGATATCACCATCAATTTATTCTAGTTAGGATTGCTTCCAAAACAGCTCGCTAAAATATTCTCAGTGCCAAAAATTATTACACAACTATGAATTGTGGAAAACCTACGTAAATAAATATCAATTGCATGATTCAGTTTTCAAAAAATTAACTTTTTGCTCTTCCAAAAAGTCAATAACTCTAGTAAAAGCGATCAGCAACCTAATTATCCAATGGCAAAATTTGAAGTGTTAATAATATTGCAAATATATGCATATGAAATTAATTTCCAATGTTTTTCATTTCACTGGATGCCTGCATGTCACAATGAATCACAGACATTGTTTTTACCGGTTTATTGTACACATCTATTTGATTTACCAATCAATATCCAACAGCGAAGGACTGAGTTTGTACGAGGACCATCCAATATATTGTTTTGATATTCATTCGAAATTTAATTAGGAAATTTTCTTCATTCTTTCGTTTTCAGAAGCACCGTGGTATTTTCCTTGCCTGCTGGAAGAATCGTGATACTCTCATCAGAGTTCAAGCTCTTTAAGGCTGCAATCTCTCTTTTTGGGACATTTGCATTTTGCTCAATTCAAAGATAGTTTCCTGGATTTCCCCTGGAAGTGAAAATTTTGCATACAGCAAGTACATCTCTCTTCTCAGTGTGGATGGCTGGATTTGCATGGGTTTCGTAGAATTTCTAATGTTTTATTAGGGTATTGTGTTTGTATCCACAAACTTCGATAAATGGTTTTTTCATACTCGAATTTTCATAGTGATCATTATAAATTGAATAATTCCTTCTGGGTTTCGCAATACGTGTTTCGCTATACATAGCTTCCTAAGCTGTGGTCATACTGACTGAATTCTACATAATCAGTGCTTTATATAACAATTTGAATCATATAACCTCTACGTAACTTCTACTACTATGTTATTTTATTCTTTGGGAAGAGATTCTTCCCGTTTGGCCAATATAAATTTTTGGACAAGAACCTCAAGTCAACTTGGTTTGTCTTTATTGTGTTCAAGAAAGAATGGAGTCGATAATATCCAGATAAGAAAATATTAGAATTTTTTACTCTTCTCCATGCAAAATCAACAGTTTGAAAATGTATATAGGGAATAATCCCGGTACTACTGTATTATATAATTATATTTCTGGAATCAGTCAAGCGTCGAATACCAAATATGTATATGAGGGAATAATAGTCTCGGCTGCCATCCGAAAACCATCCTATTGATTGGTATTGCAGGGAAAACTAATAAAAGTTGTTTTGTAATAAATCGTTTGATTTATTGGAAAAGCAGTATATCGTTGTTTTTGCCAGAGATTGACGTTGGAGGAAGTCGGGGAAGGAAACAAAAATAGCATATGGGATTCTGGTAAGAGCAAAATTGGTTTGAAACGATATCAATTCGGGACCAGGTGTGTACTTGGAAATGTATCGTTGTTATTGGAGGGGCGCCGGAAGAGGTATTATTATTGGATTTAGGTGTAGGTCACTCAATTAATAGATGTATGAGCATTTTTTTATTCGCGAAATATTGAAAATAGTATATTGAACGAAACGACAGTTCTGTTCAGCAGTTAATGTATTTTTGATATGTTCATTGTGGTTTGTATTTAATTTTTTTCATTTGAGAAACAGTAGAAATAATATGAGAATTGTATAATGAAAAAATGTTTCCGCCTCATCTATCCGTCTGTTTGCCTTTCTGAAAGCGATAAACTCAAAGACTACCGAGTGGATTTTCATATGGTTTTTACTAATGGACGTAGTGATTCAATAGGAAGAGAAAGAAGATGTATATGTACATAAGAAAGAAGAACAAATTCAATTAGCATATACACGGGTAAATAATTGATATCATATAGGGATAAGTATTAATAAAAATACTAGAGTTGAAATTATATTAAAATTTCAATAAAATATAAAATCTTGATCGAATTTAGGTTGAATGATATGTTTTTCAGCAAAGTTAATTATTTGTTATCAAAATGAATGGATATGAGGAAAAGCAAAACAGAAGATGTAATTTTGGCCAATTTGGCGCAAAAAACTGAAACTGTTAGATCCTCTATGTTGAAAAGTGCCATTTTAGTGAAGAAAAATGTAAACATAGCCAATTTCCCAAAGGTTGTCGCATTTCCTAAAGGAAGAAAATTGGTTTTAGAGTAAATAAATGAGAAGTCTCCAATAGCGAGCATAAGTTGTATGGTTTCGTCAATTTAAAGAATTACTTCAGATTTCTATATTGGAAAAATACTATACAGTTGATTTGACTGGAAATATATTTATAATTTGTATTATAAAATGATTTTCTTATAAATTAAAGTTGGGAAAATACACGAGAACTTTTTGCTGTTAGAAGATTTAGATGAACTCAAAAACTCAAGTCCGGTTTCTGTGCTACAGATTCACAGTCAACATAGTTCTTTTTTCAATTCTTAGAGAATTTCGTAATCACTTCTACGAAGCGTTTGAAGTAACCATGACATATATGTGAGTACCGGGTACTAATAGGATATATTCAGTTGATTACGGTCATGAGACATTTGTTAATAATAAGATTGTTCAACGAGATTTTCCCGATTTCTAGCAAATGACGCGAATTCCACCAGATGTTGCCCAATTTGCCTTCAACAATTGTCAGAAATGTGTTAAATATGTTAAACAACGGTCTAATTAGAAAACAATAACAATGCGATGGATTTAAATGCAGACATTCATCGCCGCTTTTTGATGGGAATGAGTTTTTGAATGTGCTCCAGTATTTTGTTGTGGTCCAGTATTTTGTTGAATGAATACAAATCGTATTAACTGTCAACAGACGTAAGAAATGATATGAACTGTTTGAAAGATTATGTGAAAAGTGGATTTACTTCGTTCTCACCTTGAATGTGATGCTAATTTCCACATGATCAGTTCATGATATTCCTTCGGTGAAAATACTGTTAAGTTTGATGTCACGATTTCATCATTTGATTAACAGATGATGGCCATTTTGGGTGGCATGCATTTGGTTCGTGTTTTTGTTATCGAATTTCATAGGAATTATGTTCGAATATGAAGATTTAGATTTTTATTTTCAGAATTACATTTCATGATCCCATCTTCCCAAAATTTTCAATTAGGATTGTTCACAAGGCCTTTTTCAATGCCTACAAATAGATTTGTCTGCCCGGCGTGGATTGTGAATGTTATGCTTCAGCTCTGAAGATCCATCAACTTGCGTTATTGAAGCCACGGAAGATAGAAAATCGTAAACCAACATATCCTTAAATATTTGGAAGGCTTCAACATTTTTAGCGATCATCAATATGGCTTTCGGAAACAAAGATCAACAGGCGACCTTCTACCGTATGTCACACATATTTGGAATAACGCAATCGAGAAACGTGGAGAATTAAGAGCTGTTGCGCTTGATATTGCTAAGGCCTTTGGCAGTGTGTGGCATGAGGGTTTGCTGGCCAAACTTCGATGCTTTGGTTTGTCAGATTATTTCTGTGTATGGTTCTCCAGCTTCCTGAAAAAACGTTCCCTACAAATGGCCGTCGATGGATATCTCTTGCATGCCTTTCACAACATGTTTCAGATGCTTTAGACCAGGGGTCTCCAAACTACGGCCCGCGGGCCAAATCCGGCCCGCCAGTGTCATCAATCCGGC